GGTAGCGCTAAGTCCAAGGTGCGGGCATTTAGCCTAGGAGAGGAGGTTGAATAAACTAATTTTACAAAATGATAGCTCATATGTGTTTATTTATTTGGAATTTTTGGTGATCATTTTTGTCAGTTGCTTTTTTTTTCGAGTACAGTTTTTATACGCTACAAACAATTGCCTCACTTCCACAAGATCACTATTTTATGTTTACCGATAGTCTCAGTTATGTCGAGGCTATTCGCTCCATGAGGCCGGTAAAGTACTCCTCGTATTTTCTCATGAAATACGAGAGCTTCAAAGTGCTTTATTGCAACTCATGAACCGGGGACCAACGGCTTTACTTCCCACCGGCGCCGCTGTGAGTAATCGGTTCAAATCCATTAATTTTAGATATAAGACATTCACAACGTATAACGTAAACGATAACTTGGCTCTGTAAAGTATATCCGATTGAGCCTGTACAAATAAAGTAAATAACACACCAAAATGACCGGCTTCACATTGTTCGATTGAATTTTGGTCGACGTAGACCATATGTCAGACCGGTCTCATACGGAACTCTCTTTTGTAAAAACACCCATACTCATTTTAGAATAGTTTGAAAATGGAGAGTAGAATTTCACTCATTTTCGATGTAGCTCAATTTTGTCATAAAAATTTATTAGAACTATTTCTCATATCTCGCGTCACTTTTCAAATGTGTAACGTTCTCCGTGTTATGCTAAGCTGACGGCTTAAGCGCCACCTTGCAAAGAAGGAACGTCAACTCGTTCTTAATTACCCGGCAAGAAACTTCCCTTCTCAGGGCAGGTCACTCAGATATTGACACAAACGAACTAACTTATTTTGACCCAAACGTCTAAAGGCAACCAATCAGATAAGGATACTTAAATTTAAAAACACCAATTTCAACTGCGAAAATGATATCATTCTTTAAAATCAACTAAGGGGAAATATGCAATAATTATTTTAAGCCAAACCAATCTAACAAATATAAACATATACAAATAACGTGACGCAAAATATATGAGGAGTAACTAATCTTAACTAGAAGTAATTTTTATTTTATTCTATTCAATTGGACGAATCCAGAATTTACTAAACATAAATTTATCGAGCTAGCGATTTATTAATAATAATAAATTCTGACGTCACGTTTCTAGTTCATGTGTGTTAGCATAGCCATTCAATATCAAATCAAACTAATGTGAGCAGTTTTCGGACTGATCTGACCTGGTTCCTTCAGCGTATCCGGTCCCTCGTCGGATGTCCCGCGACGTTCTAGTACGCGAACTAAAACAGCATCAGTTGGTCACCGAAAGCTTACGCGCCAAGATGACTCGCGCGTGGGCAAGTAAGGGGTATAGGCGTTCCCAAGCGTAGTGGAGTGATGAGCTGTAGTAGCGGTACGCAGTTCACGCCTCACGACTTGGCGACACGAGTCGTTCCAACAAAGGCTACCAATTGCACAATAGCAGTGGTAATGCGTCGTAACCGAACGGTTGTGCTACGAGAAAGTGCGCAGTAGCAGTAACGGGTGGGCGTAATTGCCGTCTGACCAACAGCCAGCATAAGACGGAAGATCCTAGTCCTAGCTGCTTGAAACAGTCCGCTCCAGTTTCGACGATATTTGCCGATTCTAGCACTAGCCAATACAAGCCGATACAAGCCGCCCGCGTTGACTGGGCAAGGAGGGCCTGAATTTCTAATTTCACATATTTCACAATATATATTCAATATTCTATTTTGATCAAAATATGATCCTGTACTCGGCAAATTAAAAAAATTCGGGTTTAGATGTTGCGCAGTAAATTTCAATATATTGTCTTCAACTTAAATCCGCATTTAATAACTTCTGATAACTTCAAAGCACTCCACTCAAATGATTCGATAGACGCGGAGCAGCTTGGGTTGTGCCTAACAACTACTGCGTAATTTCTTCCTATTTGCAGATTCGAGAGAATAAACGAAGTCGTACAAGGTGTTAAGCATAATAGCCAAAATCTATTGAATTCTCTACGACGCAACGGTTTTAAATTTTAAAAATTGTATCTTAACTGCCGTGACAAAAACTAGGTGGCGTCTACAAAAGGTGGATGTCTAAGATAGCATACAAACTGACAGCATGCTCTGAAAATTCAGTAGTACGACGTACGATTAATAGAAAACGAACAAACGGGTAAACATTAATGGCGGTAAGCTCCAACTCGGATTAACTTTTAATACCGTCCCTGTTTGGATGATCTGCGAAGTGTTTGCATAGCATCGTGTTGAATAACTCTGATGTCGACATCAAAGCAGCCGGACATTCTTGATCGGGATTTAATCCGAGGATAATACCGATTGGAGCTACTGGAATACTTATAGATCAAATCTACATTGATCGATTCTCTTCATCGAATCTTTCTTTCGTTAATAACTTGGCTGCATTCATATTTCGGGCAGATTTTTCTACATAGTCTGTTAAAAGAAAGTATTATAAGCGTATTGGACGATAAAACAGCTGAACATGTTTCGGAGCCGAAAAAAATTATCAATTTAGATTGATCAATTTGAAAAATGACGCGAGATATTTTAGAACTTCATGTCTACGAAAATAAGTGAAACCCTGCATGGATACAAATAATACTGAGTTTCATTCACTCGGGTAGATGGTTGAGCGAACGACAAAAAAAAAAGATGAATATAACATCGACAGATGCATACCATCGGCTGAGTAATGTTACGTAGTACAATGTACTCATAATTTGCTTACAAATTTACATCCATGGACGCAGCATTGTGTTTGTTTTTTAGCAATATCATCAGAATAAATTACATTGATCAATTTACATTTTTCGCTGAGTATGAAAAGATAATTTTGAGCTAAAAAAACTAGACGTAGAGTTGGTTTGACATGCTATCTAATATGAAGCTTTAGTGTGATAATTGATTAGGTAGAAAATGATCTATCCCCTCTTAGGGGGATAGCTCCGTTAGAGTACGGCAGTATGAAAATTGAATAGAAGTAGAAAATGAGTGAAGGGCCATTAATGCGATAGTACAAAGTCCAACGCACACCTTTTGCCTAACCCGTACGATGTACGCAGATTTGAAGTATGTATTCAAATCTACAGGCAAAAAGTGTGCGCCCGCCTTTGCTCATTACTGTCTGCGGCTGTGGTATAGTTCTAGCGACGTTTCATCACTACTTAAAGCCCCACGTTGCGTGAGCATTTCCAGTCGGTGGTGTGTTATAATGCAATAATTCTTCTTTACCCAAATATTGTATTGCTCCTCTCGTCCAACCAACTCTAAAAATAGCAAACTTCGCGTATGAAGTAACATAAAAACACTTTGAATGTAACTAGACATAGCATAATGAAAACAGGGCATCAGCGTCTACCAGCATGACATTTCAGCAGCAACTGAAATTCGTGCTAGTTGACGAGTGCCCTAGCGCTAGCAAATAAGCTTTAGGAAAACTATTTGGGAGCGAATAGTTCTCCAATCAAAGTTCAGAATAGGAAAAGCATGACAATTACCATTGCCAGCCACGCCCATCTTCTCCGTTACGGGGAAAGGAAGGATATTGTTGATGTAGCATCTACTTAACGGGAGGCCAGCGACTCACCGAAAGTTGGATAGTTTGGTAGGAGATGGGTCAGGATTCGCTTAAGCAGGCGATGCGATCATAGTAATTGTTTTGTTCTAGAGGAGCTTGGGAGTAAACCCACGATCTTCTGCTCAGTAAGCAAAAGCGGCAGCCGCCAAGGTAGCCGAGCTCCTAAATTTAAATTCCAATCTTGTTTAAAATAAAATTAAACAAACAAAAAGGAACCGTCTCATCGGAATGATCCAATTTACTCCAGCCATGTGTGATAAAAACACTGATGCTCTTTGGGGACTTCGATAGTCGTGGAGATTAATTCGCAACACTCGCTGACACGAAACTATTCAAAACTCCCAGCCGTTAACAAATATGTCATGCTCCGAGGTTGAAAAGTTCGTTAGTCGACGAAAAATATGTTTTAATGTGTTGAATTTCACGTCTGTTATGACTCAATTTTATGTCAAAATTGACGATCGTATATGTCAGTCTCAAAGCATCTAAAATTACATTTTTTTTTTTTGTAAGGGTATAGTGACTAGAATATAATATAAAACTATGTTATATTTAACGAGAAAGGCGCTTAATCAAGTTCTTTTACAGCAAAAAATATGTTTTCTGGTCATATCTCCGAAACCAGAACTTGTAGCACTCAAATCGGTTCGGCCAACGCTGAGAACAGTGGGTGAATGACAAACACACTATTATTTTTGTAATCATCTGGAATGTCTAAGAAAGAACTCAAATGAAACTAACTTAAAAAAATTCATACACACTTAGAAATACCTAATCTTACACGTGACGGAATCCATAAAAGATGAGACGTAAACAAACATTTCATGTAAAATTAAGTGCTCCGAGACTGCAAAGTGCGAAAGTACGCTTGATTGAATTGATTTTCTCGTTTCTTTCAACTGATTATTATGTCATTTGGACGGCTTGCATGTGTCGGCCACAGGGCACCCAGGGCACGGTCATCTACATGACTTTTTGGTAATGTGTCTACCAAGCAAAACACAAAATTTTCCATTGTTTTCCAACTACTCAAAAAAACGTTATTCGAACACAGACTGTTACATCATTATCATTACTGCGTCGAAATGATTACGGAGCGCAAACCGTTCCTCTTCAATTGAACTAAGCCCATTTAAGTGTAATGAGATGCACATATTCGGTCCCGAATATTAGCATTGTTTGCCTCCCACCGAACACGCGCGCTCGCTACCTTTCCAGTTCTGGGGTGAAACGAATTCCGTTTATTTAAAAATGCACGAGCTGAAAATCTCGGGAAATCCCACTTGCGAAAACAAAACACTCTTATTAGCGCTGAATCGCAAACAAATCAATCAACCGATCAAACATGATGCGAGGGAAACACAGAATCCATCACCAGTCCAACATGGGAATAAATGCCACTCACCATCACTGTTGGGCGATCTGAATACGGCCCCGATCACTCCACCGATATCACAGATTAAAACGCACAAAAGCCCACTTAGCACTAATCGGGCGCTATTCTTCGCTAGTGAAGGTCGCATATTTTTTGGCAACCTTTGTATAGAGGAAAAAAAAAGAGCAAATTGATTTGATCTAACTTCAACTTCACACTTCTTCCCCGGACGATATTTCTGGCTAATCACTGGCAGCCCGTCGTCACTGATCCATTTCCGATGCCCGAATGTCGATCCCGAAGCGCCAGGCAGAATCCTTTAGCACCTTTGAGGGCGTTTGCGAACTACTACTGACCTTCGCTCTGGAACACGGCTGCTTAAATACTGAACAAAACTGTGAATGCGAATTGTCTGACACTGACAAACTGTGTAGTGTACTAAAACAGCACCAGCACTCCTCCAAGCTCCTAGCCTTCCCCGGGTAGGAGATCAGTGGAGAGAGTGCAAGCAGAAATTGGTGTATTAGTTAGATGAGTTCCAGCTGAGCGGCGCTGAGATTGATAGATAACAGAGCGCGAACCGACGAGAGAACCACTTGAGAATTATCAAAATCGTAAAACGTGAGCTATCACACTTTTCGAAAGAATGTCAATAGATTCCACATTGTATTTAGTATGGATTGTATGGAAGTATGAAAGTGTATTGTTATGTTGGAATAGGTACACTGTCCGTCGGTACTCATTCAAAACATGTGAGGGGAGGAAGGGACAAATTGATAACGATCGTGCATAACTGGAACCTGCACCCGTTTACAGTTGGACCGAGCAGCGTGGCAGCTTGATATGCATATCAATAAAAATTAATGGTTTAACAACAGGTTGAGCGGTTTCCACGCCGACCTAGAGTAGTGCACTCGGTTAGTGGGAGTTCGTAGCATGGGTGGAGAGGGAAAGCGAACAAGTGCCGGGAGAACAATGAGCTGTATGTTGTTTGTAGCCGAAGCCGAGCAGCATGTGCCTGACTCCAGTTGAGCAGCTGATCGAGCGGTGATCGCCCGAGGGCAGACAATAGGTAAGGGTTGATGCATATATTATGTCACCCTCTAAGGGGGGAGGGGGGGTCTAAGATTTTGCGACAAGCAATGCATTAGGTATAGGAAAAACGTCACGATAGGGGGGGGAGGGGGTAATTTTTTGCTCGCTTTAGTGTGACATAATTAATGCATGGGCCCTAAGAATTAAGTACATAGTTGAACTGGGTAGTTTAGTGGTGGAACGAGTGCGTAGCCGATAAGACAGGGTTGCCGGTTTCTTCTTCTTTCCCGCATTTCAAGCTTATTGCTTATCGCATATTAGCTTATTGCGTGACCTCAACTTTGTGTTCTAGATGCACTTCCACTGTTATTAATTGAGAGCTTTCGATGCCCGTACCATTTTAGCATTAGTATAATTGTGTGGCAAGTACTATCATACTCTATGCCCAAGGACGTCGAGAAATTTTGTAGCTTTCGCACTATTAGTAGCCTAGCCTGTAAAGGCACGGTATAACCAAGCTGGATGTAAATTCAAGCATTTGGTTAGCATGGAAAGTTCTCAATTAGTAACTTTGGAAGTGCTTCAAAACCAGTAAATTGATAGCATGCATAAGCTCGTGTAAGTGTGTTAGAGCCAGAAAGAAGAGTTAAGTGGAAAATAGGTCGAACATGAAAATGAAAACCTGATTTTCCCATATATTTGAGCACACCCGAGCAGAGAATGAAAAAAAAGTGAAAACATATATGATTTTCTGATATGATTGTTCATGATAATTCTGTGGTCGAGTTAACGTCAATCAGAGCTTAAATGAGATCTAAATAATGTATGAATATGATCAAATCTAAAATATTCACAAATCTTGGCATAACTGATAACTACTCAACAAATAATTATCAGACTCTACATATCGAACCATCAACTCATGGACCGGAGACCAACGGCTTTACTTCCCTTGCGAAGGAAGGCGTGATCAGAGATTTTATCCCTCAGAAACTCCCGGCGGGACTGACTGGGATTGACCCCAGGCCTTTTGAGGTGAGAAGCAATCACGCTCACCACTACACCACCCACCACTATGTTATCGGTGTTTTCAGGTATGGCTTGATCAAGTACGATACCTGCTTGCATTCAATTTACCATTGTATGAATGGCCACGAACTTGGAGGGTGGACCCGTAAGCAAAAACACTTACGCGTGATCCACGGGAGCAAGAAGAATCTCATTGCAATGATAAAAATGTTCCAACCAGATATAGAACAAGCCAGCAGACGAGGGGATATCCCAATGAGTGGGGAGAAGAGCCCACCTTCAATTCACGAAATGTTAACAACAGGGAGTTGGCAATTCCACTCTCCCCATCCAAATCACTTCAATCAGGCCCATCCCTACTCAATGAATGTATATGTTTATATGAAGAAGAATATTATAATACCCATGACCTATCTACCCATGAATGCAAAGTAAGCAAAAACGATCCATTTATCTTGTGTGAAATTTCTCTGTTCATAATTGAAAATCATCTATCGAACCGTTCCAGACAAAAAAACATTATTTTAAAGCGACTTAATTTACTAACACACTTAATTTTGCAAGGCAAAACTAGGCGCATAAACTCATGCATGAGATTTGAGTTTATAAGTTTTTCCGAACACTGCCAGTGACGATGAGACTCATCAAGAAGAGGTGTCCAACAAAAACTAATAAAGAGAGGCAAAAGACAAAGGAATTAAATTATTATACTAGGCATTTGCAGAAACACATAAATTGAAGGCATATAGCAGATATCGCGAGTTCATAACACGTCTCTGATTTTAGGAACACAGGGTTGTCTTCCAAAAGTCACTCTCTGGCGGTGTCATTATTTGTACAACCAACCAAACTGCGTGATCGATGTCATCGGAACCGTTTCCACACCGGCAGATGTTGCTGTTGCTAGCGAGTAGTGACAGGACATAAGTCTACTCATCACGCGAATGAAGTCTCGACTTAAGCCCAAGGCTTTAAACCATGCTCTCGAATAATCTAATGTAATCACAGTCCAAGATTTCCCGTCTCCAGTGTTGCTAAAATTCTGCCATTATACATCTTGAAAAATTTTCAAAATAGCATCCTTGATAGTTTTCAAAAACTGATAGCATGGAAATGGTATTTCTAATCGAAATGTAGTCTGAGACAAAGTTTTATAGAAAAGTTATGTCTGTGGCGCCAATTAATCATATCGTCTGGGCATTTTCCACAGATATGGCGCTGTTCCGCAGGTAGGAAGCGATGCCATGTATTTTGATGACACTCGATTTATGATTTCCCTTTCACAGATTACAAAATAGAGTACCCGTCACTACAAAACATGTCTGGTACCTTCGAATCGGGACTTCGAATATTAATCTAAATGCATATATAGAGGTATCAGACATGTTTTGCATTGCACTGTTCTCTGTGAACAATTAACCACTGGCGTGCACAGGAATCTTGTTACGGAGGGGCAATTTTTTTCTATGGTGCATTTAATCTGGGGATGTGGAGTACTCCAAAGTACGTGGTAGATGGTGCTGTCGTCCTCCCACTTTTTCCCTACTGTTCAATTTAGCTAATTTCATTTATTTTTTGCTCCGGTGGTGGTTCATCTTCTTTACATTACATTGTGCAACGACATAATCATGTAATTTTGAATACGGTTACTTGTATACTGGCAATTTTTCGCACCTTCCACCAAGTGTTTTTCCAGCACAGGATTGTAGTTAGCCACCAACTGGGTGGCACACTTTCCGCTCCTTCCGAATGTTCACGAAGTGGTCGGCTACCTTTGCAAAGTATGCGCACAATATCGATGAAATGTTCCATTATATAGCGATTTTGTAGCCGCTTTGCCTTACTAGCAGCAATCATAGCTGTTTTTTGGTGGTCCAGTTATTCGTCGATAGCCTTCCTGGTTTTGAAATTCTTCTACGCTTCCAACATGGGTATCACTGCGATTGTGTTTGCCCAGCAGCTCGGTCGATTTCTTCCAAATTTCTGAACCCTGTAGGAATTGTTGTAATAATGTTTTGCGTCATGCTCTTCTTTACAGGTTAAAAATACAAATCAAAGATAATATATTCTTCAAGGTACTGGTATCATCTCTTATTCAGTTACCTTTCTGAAATTTTGTGCAGTACATTTTTGTATATTTTGAAGGCATTGTTACAATTTTTTACTTTTTCAAGTAAGTATTTTTGTAAGCCCTTATATGCTGTTATAGTCACTTTACTGTTACCGTTGCGAGTACGTTGAACTTGGTCATTCTCAGCGAAAATTTTATTTTTTTTTTTCAAATTTTGATCTAAATTTTAAGGCTAATAGGATCATTAAAAGGTTTTAAAAATATATAACGATTGGACCAAAGGCGCACAAAACTATTTTGATAAACGAGTACAAGATTGTTAACGGAATGACGACTTGTGCGAAGGATTGAGCCTGTCAACCACGGTAACAAATGATGAAATTTTCAGAGAAGATTCTTAGAAAAATTCTTAGTAAGACAACAATCGACCAAGGTTCAATGGCAAACTTATACCTAATTTTCAATTAGGGTCTCCAAAAGCTGTCAAAAGCTGTACAGTTGCGAAAAAGTCTATCCTCAGAATTCCTTAGGTTCTTTTAGAAATTTTTAGAACTCTCCGAAGAGTACTTTTTTTTTACAGCGGCGCCGGTGGTGTAGTGGTATGCGTGATTTCCTCTCACCCCAGCAGGCCTGGGTTCAATCTCAGTTGGCGCCACCGGGATGTTCTGAGGCATAACATCTCTGATCACGCCTTCCTTCGGAAGGGAAGTAAAGCCGTTGGTCCCCGGTTCATAAGTTGATGGGTCGATAGGTAGGGTCCAGGTGTGGGAGCTTCCTCCCTGGCGTCGGTAGCATTGGTGCTAAGCACGGAAAACAAGATCGACGGAAAACAAACCAAAAAAAAAAAAAAAAGAGCTCTTTTGAAATTCTTCTTAGAAGTCCACTGGAATTATATTTACAATTATTCATGATTTTTTTCTCAGAACGCCTTGGAACTGAAATTCCTTTAGAGTTTCAGAAATTATTCCCGGAATGAGCTAGAAATTATCCTCGGAATTCGCTTGAAATTTTGCTAAAAATCCCTTTGGAAGTTCACCCAAAATTTGATTTTCTCGGTATTCTTTTCTAAATTATCTTGGAACTATCTGCAGGATGCGCAAGAAATTATCCGCAGAATTTTATTTGAAATCTCTCCAGAAATATTTTGGAACTGTCCTAAGAATTCAATATCCTTGAGGTTCTTCTCGGAATATTCTAGAACTTTTTTTTTCTCAGAACACCTTGGAAATGAAATTCCCCTAAT